AAAAGTGACGTCCTGAGAGGGCAGGACACGGCGCGAGGTGGCGTGGTAAAACTGCCAACCAGACGCGTCCGGGACAAAGCCAAGGAAGACACAAGGAACAGCGCGGGAGGAGAGCTTGTCCGCGGACGTATCGCGGACAAAAGCTCGAGATCCCCAGACCCGGAAACGCGACGCATCGCCAACCTTCCCCGTCCACAGCAGTGTGGGCGAGGTCTCCGGCAAGGAGACACGGGGCCAGAGGTTGAGCTGATGCGCAGCGTACCGGACCGCAAACGGCCACAGAAAGTGGGGGGCAGCCGCATGGATCAAGGAGGTACGAGCGACCTCCATGACCAAGCCAATGCGGCGCTCAGCAACCCCATTCTGCTGTGGAGAGGCCGGAAGCGTGAATGACTGCTCAGTGCCCTCCCCCTGACAGAAGGCCCTCAAGAGGTCGGAGGAAAACTCCCCACCTCTGTCAGAGTGCAGACGCAGGACAGGGAAGTCCGAGTGGAACCTCTCGCTGAGCTGGAGACGGGCAGTGCGGATCCAAGGGATCAAAACATCAGGGACTTCACCCTTGGTGCGCAAGGGGAAGACCGTGGTGTAGCGCGAGTAGTCGTCAACAACTATCAAGAAGTACCTCTCGTGACCCTGTCCACGGACGCGGGCTGGGCCCCACACGTCCATGTGGAGCGTCTGCAGGGGAGCAGTCGTCGGGGGAAACGAGGAGGAGTGAGGAGCGGCGCGCTGCCGCCCCTCGACACAGGGAAGACAGGGAGGAGCAGGCGAGGGTGGGAGGGGAGGGAGAACCCTGGGAAGACCAGAGACAAGGTACCGGAGTGCATGCCACGAAGGCGCTGCACTGACGGGTGACCAAGGCGGTGGTGCCAGAGGACGGTCTCGTGCGCCAAGGAGCGACACGAGCAGGGGGCAGACAGCTGACCTGACGCAGACGCAGATGCAGCTACCTGAGGGGACTCAGTGGTCAGTGTGTACAGGTCCGACCCCGGCTGCCGAGTGAAGGTAGCCAGGTGGCGACCCGTCCGAGCACACGTGCAGTGTGTCACGCGCTCGTAGGCAGGGGTGAACTGGTGGACACCCCCGTCCTGGAGCGCACGACCCGCCACCAAGTTCGTAGAGAACGAGGGGAGGTAGAGACCTGACAGTGTGCCCGACGGGACCGCAGGACAAGGGAGGACAGTGGAGGAGGTCGCAATGACCGGACCCCCAAAGGGGTCAGCGAGGGAGACTGCAACCGGCCGAGCAAGCTGCTCAAGGGCAGTGCGGTCACGGAAGAAACAGCGGGAAGCACCTGAGTCCAGTGTGAAGGTGTGCAGTGCCTCAGTAGACGCAGTACCAGAGGGCGCAGACTCACGAGTACCTAGAGCAGCAGCCTCACCAGCACCTGGGGCAACAGACACACTAGCACCTAGAGCGGCAGCCTCACCAGCACCGGAGGCAACAGACACACGAGCACCTAGTGCGGCAGCCTCACCAGTACCTAGAGCAGCAGACTGGATACCGGGGTCAGGCGGCACACACAGGTGACAGGCTCCCTCGGCACTAGCAGACAATGCATACATTGCAGTGAGAATAGCATCATAGGCAAGAGCAAAGATATCTACCCGCTGTCCAAGCAGCTCCACCCAGTCGGGGAGCTCAGCGTCGTCGCCAAACTCTGTACGCCAAGCGTCACTCAGACGGGCGAAGCAGTGGGACTCTGTGTGACCACGCGTCCCGCAAGGCTGACCAGTCCGGGCACCCGTGCTAATAACGTACGGGCAGCGAGCAGTACTCAGCGACCCTCTACTCTGTGCGTACCACTCACGAAGCTGCTGGGGCGAAAGAGACTCGCGCGGACGACTCTGCTGCTGCACCGGGCCACTACAAGAAGTTCCCGAGCTACCCACTCCAGGACGACTCCCACTACGGCCACCCCGACAACCCCAACTGGCGTACCACTCACGAAGCTGCTGGGGCTTGAGGGACACACGCGGACGGCCGTGAAGCTGCATCTGGCCACGCCAGGAGCAGCAGTAGCAGCAGTAGCGGCAGTAACAGCAGTAGCAGTAGGAGCAGTAAAAGCAGTAGCAGCAGTAGCAGCAGGAGCAGTAAAAGCAGTAGCAGCAGTAGCAGCAAGAGCAGTAAAAGCAGTAGCAGCAGTAGCAGCAGGAGCAGTAAAAGCAGTAGCAGCAGTAGCAGCGATAGCAGTGCGGGCAGGGCAGTGCTCACCAGTGGTGGGAAGGGCAGGCGCAAGACGGCGGCGACAGCGGGGCCGCTACAGCTGTAGGGCGGGGACGGGCCGCGGCAAGGAGCTCCGCGGCAACTGCTGCAGGGCGGGGTCGGGCCACGACGGCGGCTGCTCCAGGGGCCAGGGGCGGCTCCTGCAGTGGCGGCTGCTCCAGGTGGCCAGGGGCGGCTGCTGCAGGGGCGGCTGCTCCAGGGTCCAGGGGCGGCTGTAGGTGCGGCTGCTCCAGGGGCCACGGGCGGCTGCTGTAGTGGCGGCTCGGCTGGGGCGACGCGACGGGCTGGGGCAGCCCGCAAGGGCGACGCGACGGGCTAGGGCAGCCCGTAAGGGCGACGCGACGGGCTAGGGCAGCCCGCAAGGGCGACGCGACGGGCTAAGGCAGCCCGCAGGGGCGACGCGACGGGCTAAGGCAGCCCGCAAGGGCGACGCGACGGGCTAGGGCAGCCCGTAAGGGCGACGCGACGGGCTAGGGCAGCCCGCAAGGGCGACGCGACGGGCTAAGGCAGCCCGCAGGGGCGACGCGACGGGCTGGGGCAGCCCGCAAGGACGACGCGACGGGCTAAGGCAGCCCGCAGGGGCGACGCAACGGGTTAAGGCAGCCCGCAAGGGCGACGCGACGGGCAGGGGCAGCCCGCAAGGGCGACGCGACGGGCTAAGGCAGCCCGCAGGGGCGACGCGACGGGCTAGGGCAGCCCGCAGGGGCGACGCGACGGGCTAAGGCAGCCCGCAAGGGCGACGCGACGGGCTAGGGCAGCCCGCAAGGATTTTTTTTTTTTTTTTTTTTTTTTTGAACGACGGCGCTAGTAGGGGCGCTCGACGGCGCTAGAAGGGGCGCTCGACGGCGCTAGAAGGGGCGCTCGACGGCGCTAGTAGGGGCGCTCGACGGCGCTAGTAGGGGCGCTCGACGGCGCTAGAAGGGGCGCTCGACGGCGCTAGTAGGGGCGCTCGACGGCGCTAGTAGGGGCGCTCGACGGCGCTAGAAGGGGCGCTCGACGGCGCTAGTAGGGGCGCTCGACGGCGCGGCGGAACGGTGGGCCCAAACCAACGTCGGTCCTAGGTCCTGACCTAGGCGTCGGATACCATGTTAGAAACTAGAAGTGAACGAGAATGATTGAACTAGGAAAGTTGGGAGTACAAGTATGATACCCTAGAGATTGTACCCCCTAAGGCTAAACCCACTACAGCCTACAAAGCACAAACATATACAATGTTTGACAACGTCAGCAGTACAATCACTGCTCCGACCTCAGAGGAGTAGTCAAACGAGTCAGCCCCCTACGCGCCCAGGAATGAAGGGGAGTGTTACGATATGAAACTTTATGAGAAGGCATTCCTGTATGCTGCAGGACCCAACTCTACCGAGTACGAAGTCGAGGAGTCAGAAGAGTCGAAGAGACTCTGGTAACCGTCTGACCAAGACCGATGCAGGCAGAAACATTTGAACTGAAAAGAGCGAGAACAGGTTTGAAACGGGTTCCCGCGCCGCACGATTTGAACTTCGCTGTAATAAGGGAATGTACCCTTTAGAGTACATGGCTAGTCTAGGTCGTTTCGTATTCCTTTGTATTTCCTATATAAACTCGACGTATGCATGCTATTATCAATCTCAGTCATTTACATTCACTCAGACCTGAGGTCAACACTTCCGCTGCAACACTACCCTTCGATCAACCCTGAGCGATCCTTCGCTAAGTCCCACTTGGGATTGTAACACCCTCGTAGCAACCGTTCAGGGAACCTGACGGTATCTCCGAGTCACAACGAAGCAAGCAAGCACGCTGAAAGGATAGGCGAGGTCTGATCGTATACACGTCATAAGGTACATGAGGCAACCCACGAGCTCTACGTAGCGCACACCTGGGTCAACCGGCTCGTCGGAAACAGGAGCAGCTTGTGATCAACAACAACAGTGGTGGGCCGTGTGGTGGAGAACTGGATGCTGAACCACTGAATGACGTGCTGCACCATGTGTGACTGAGTCAGAGTGATGATGTGCGCTGCTGTCCCTTATGACCTGCAATCCATATGATATACGATTTCACTGAGATATGGTAGTGTTTACAGAATGGAGGTCTAATGAGGAAAAAAAAAAAAAAAAAACGTGTTTAACGACCCCGGGGGCCATAATTTTTGGGGGGGGGGACTATAGTCGGGTAATTATAATAAATGATTTCACTTTCTGAGAGACGTCATTCAATTGTGTTTTCCAGTATTTTTTTTGCATACACTTGAAACGTATGATAATAAAAATTTATCTAAAAGCACTCTTGACTATCCACAAAATGTGAAACCAAATAAGTAGGCTTGCTAAGCAACCTAGAAAAAGTGCATATTACCGGTAAGCCAAATTCAATTCTTCTGAAGGAGTAAATATTGCACTTTGTTGACCGTCAATCGAAAGAGCTCTAGTAGCGAGGATAGATTCATTAACCTTTTGCCATAGCAGGCAAAAAGGAGTGGTCGGGGTAAGCCGACACTGGGGAGAATGACGAGTGCGCGCGACACGCACCTCCATCGCCATAGCTGTATTACAAAGTCTTACGTCATGGTTAGGAGTTACGTTAGACTAGAGGCATGAATGGCTTGGCGTGACGTGGCCCAGCCAGCCTGTGCCGATTTAACACCAAACGCATGGGCTTTCCGTCCCAGCAGCAGTACAACGGATTCGCGCGATTGTAGCACCCGCGATAGTACCTTCCGCCATAGTGGGAGCAGCAGTGATATTAGCCCAGAAAATAAAAGAGAAAAGTATTTCCAGCAACTTCCAGACATGCTGGATGCGACGAGCGTTGAATTAGGGTTAGATCCGTTGAATGCGCCGGCTGCAGCCGCGGCGCGAGTCCAACCGCCGAATGCCTTCTCCGTGCTCAAGTCCTTCGTCCTCATGGGGTACGTACGACACTCTTGAGGTACGTACGACACTCTTGAGGTACGTACGACACTCTTGAGGTACGTACGACACTCTTGAGGTACGTACGACACTCTTGAGGTACGTACGACACTCTTGAGGTACGTACGACACTCTTGAGGTACGTACGACACTCTTGAGGTACGTACGACACTCTTGAGGTGCCTCCAAAGCCGCGCGATTCCAACAGCCGCATCCCCTCTCTCGTTGTGTGAATTCTGTGGCGCCACAGAAGTGATTAAAGTCTGTTTGCGTTTGCTGTGCTCAAGTCCCATATTTATCATGGAGTACGACTCTCGTTTAGAGACGCTCAGAAGCCGATATTAATGCTTAGAAGTCAACAGATATCAACAAAAGTCAACAGAAGTCATCAGATGTCATCAGATGTCAATAGATGTCCCGACTCAGCATTCTGCAAGTTTTTCGGGTCGACTATAAGTTCTGCTCATTGCACGTGGTTTCAACCGATAAAAAGTTGTTAATTTATTCATGTTTCATGTCCCCCGTTTCTCCCATTTGGCCGGCCCCTCTCGCGTGCAGCTTCTACAATTTCGGCGGCACCAAGGGCCACGTGGAGATGATGCGCAAAGAGTTTGTGGACCGGCGAGGCTGGCTGGATGACACCCAGTTCACGGAGGTGTACCGATATGCCAATGTAACGTACCGATATGCCAATGTAACGTACCGATATGCCAATGTAATGTACCGATATGCCAATGTAATGTACCGATATGCCAATGTAATGTACCGATATGCCAATGTAATGTACCGATATGCCAATGTAATGTACTGTGCTGCTGGTCTGTCAATGCAATGTTTACCTGATATGCCAATGTAATGTGTTTTTTGCTGTGCCAATGTAATGTCCTCGTGGTGCGCGTGTGTGCGTGCATGTGTGTGTGTGTGCGTGTGTGTGTGCGTGTGTGTGTGTATGTGTGCGTGTGTGTGTGCGTGTGTGTGTATGTGTGCGTGTGTGTGTGTGTGTGCGCGCGCGCGCGCGCGCACGCCTGCAGTCCATCCCGGGCTCAACGGGGATGGAGATGGTGTGGATGGTCTGGATTGTGTGGTTGCTCTCTGTACCTTGCACAACCAAACCCAACCGAATCCCATCTCTCCCCACCCCCTCTTTGGTCTGCACCGACTCGCCTTTCCGCCTGCAGGCCATCCCGGGCCCAACGGGGATGCAGATGGTGGCGACACTTGGCACGCTGTGGTTGGGCACGTACCTTGGGGGCATCTTAATGCTCTTCTTCTACATGCTGCCTGGATGCCTTTCCGTCTACTTTGTGGTGAGGCCACTCGTTGCTCTCTTTTGGACTTGTGCTGGGGTGGGGTTGACATGTGTGTGTGTTTAGGGACGTCTCAAGGCACGTATGTGCTGGGCACCTCATGCCCTTCTTTCTTCTTCATACTGACTGCTTGCCTTCCCGTGTACGTGAGCTGCCTTGCTCTGTTTGATACATGGCTTGGTGGTGAGATGCATGGAAAGAGCCTTTTCTCCTCTTTGTTCCACTACCCTCTTCTATCCTTCCAAAGACAAGGCTGGTACCTGCTCGCCATTGTGTTTTGAATCGTCGCAAAACACTCCTGAATTGTCCCACCGCCCGCCACCACACTCCACTGCCCTCCACTCGTATTTCTAATCTAGGTTCGTGGAAGCGGTGGAACAGAGCAAATATTTCTCCTTCGACATTCATCCTTTGTCTTACTCCACTCTATCAACCCTCCACCACACCCCACCACTCTCCACCACACCACCCCCCACCCGTCTTTGCAGGCGAGGTTTGTGGAGTCAGTGGGGCAGAACGATTTCTTCTCCTTCAACACGCAGTGGTTCACCGAGTTTGGCCCTCAGATCCCCTCCGATGAGAAAGCCTCCACCTTCTCGCAGGCCGTCGTGGGCGCCGTCGCTGCTGCTCCTGCCTACGCCCTCCTCTACTCATTCGCCCATGCCCAGAACGTGAGTATTCAACCCCCTTCATCACGCCTCTTAATACCCAGTCCATCTCGCCCCTTAGATTCACACTCCATCACGCCCTTTAAAATCACACTTCATCATGGCCCCTAGAATATGCATCTGCATTGTGACGAGCCATGCAAAATTCGCCTCGTGTCAGGACAAACTCGTGTGAGTAATGACGAGTTCACTGGACTCGCTATGAAACTCGCCCCGTTGCCCATGTATACCTTACAACACACCTCCATCACGCCCTTAGAACGGCAGTGTCCGTTTGCCGTAGTTGCTTCTTCCCCCCTTTCCCCCCTGCCCCCCTGCCCCCCTGCCCCCAACGCTCCCCACCACAGCTGGCCACCACCACGGACAGAGCTCTCATCGCCATAGTGGCATCTATCTTCTTCCTCCTCGCTCCACACCACCTCTCCCACCTCCTTCCTCCTTGTCCCCCCTCCCTCTCCCACCACAGCTCGCCAGCACCACGGACAGGGCGCTCATCGCCATAGTGGCGGCCATCCTCTTCCTCCTCGCCACTCTCCCGTATTCTCCCCCTTGCCCTCTGCCCTTAAACCCCCTCAACTCAACCCACCCCCCCCACTCTTTTACAGATCGCCACCACCACGGACAGGGCCCTCATCGCCATAGTCGCCTCCGTCTTCTTCCTGCTCGCCCCGCACCGCCTCTCCCACCTCCTCGTGCCCCTCGCCCTCCTCCTCGCCGCCCTCTTCCGCTACCTCGCCCCCTTTGACCGCCTCTTCTCCCCTCCCCCCTCCTCCTCTTCCTCCGCTTCCTCCTCCCACTATGCACACTCCTACTTCCCTTGGTCTGCTGCCAGACCTTCCCACCCTCCCTCCTCCTCCGCCTCCTCTTCCTCCTCCACCTTCTCCTCCTCCTCCTCTGCTGCCTCTGGCGTCCCCCGAACCTCCCAAGTGACTGATATTTTCTTCCGCCCTCTGCTCAGCCGGAGAAACACCGCTGCAAACACTCAGCTAAGCGGCAGCGGTACCAGTGCTGAGCGGGCTCCACTCACAGGCAGAGGCGGGGGCGGACGGGGGGGGAACGGCTTGGTGGGAGTGGCTGGGGCAGGATCCCCGGCGTTCAGTGAAGGGGACGAAGGGGACGAGGAGGAGAGTAAGAAGCTGCTGGGGAAGGGCTTGGCGGTTGGGGGGGTGGCGGGAGGGTTGGGGGAGGGTGGCGGGGCGGGGATTGCGTCGGGTGACTCGCTGGTGGTGCTGCGCGCCAAGGTGCACTCGCTGCCGTGGTCTGCTGTGCTGCTCTTTGGATGGGTCGTCACGAATCTGGCCTTTCTCTACTGCCGCACTCACGACGGGCGCGACCTGGGATGTGAGTAGAATGCTTGTAGGCGGGGTGTGAGTAGAGAGTGAGTAGACTACTCAAGAGTGCATTCGGTACCATGGTCTGCAGTGGTGCTGTTTGGGTGGGTCGTGACCCACCTCTCCTTTCTCTACTGCCGCATTCACGACGAGCGAGACCTGGGATGTGAGTAGAATACTTGTAGGTGGGGTGTGAGTAGAGTGTGAGTAGACTACTCAAGAGTGCATTCGGTACCATGGTCTGCAGTGGTGCTGTTTGGGTGGGTCGTCATGCACCTCTCCTTTATTGTGACAGCTCATCATTGCCCCACCGTATTGCTGCCTTCTGCACTGCACATACCTTCAGCACATACCTTCTGCGCATACCTTCTGCACATGGCTGTGATTCTATCCTCCCTCCCTCCCTCCTTCTCGCCCATCTCCGTTCCCTCTCCTCCCCTCGTCCCCTCCACTCAGGCTTGGTTCTCCCAGAGCTGATCTGCCGCTAGGTGTCGTGTCGCTGGGCTTTAGGTTGGATTCATTCCGTCGTCTGCCTTCTCTCCTGCCCCTCTCGTCCCTCTCGCCCCTCTTGTCTCTCTCTCTCCCCTCGCCCCCTTGGCATGGCAGGGCTCGTGCTGACAGAGATGATCTGCCGCTCCGTGTCGCTGGGCTTTGGGGGCGACTTCTTCCCTTTCGCCATCATGAATATGGAGGTGTGTGGATGAATATGGAGGTGTGTGGATGAATATGGAGGTGGGTAGATGAATATGGAGGTGGGTTGATGAATATGGAGGTGGGTTGATGAATATGGAGGTGGGTTGATGAATATGGAGGTGGGTTGATGAATATGGAGGTGGGTTGATGAATATGGAGGTGGGTTGATGAATATGGAGGTGGGTTGATGAATATGGAGGTGGGTTGATGAACATGGAGGTGGGTTGATGAACATGGAGGTGGGTTGATGAACATGGAGGTGGGTTGATGAACATGGAGGTGGGTTGATGAACATGGAGGTGGGTTGATGAATATGGAGGTGGGTTGATGAATATGGAGGCGGGTTGATGAATATGGAGGTGGGTTGATGAATATGGAGGTGGGTTGATGAATATGGAGGTGGGTTGATGAATATGGAGGTGGGTTGATGAATATGGAGGTGGGTAGATGAATATGGAGGTGGGTTGATGAATATGGAGGTGGGTTGATGAATATGGAGGTGGGTTGATGAATATGGAGGTGGGTTGATGAATATGGAGGCGGGTTGATGAATATGGAGGCGGGTTGATGAATATGGAGGGGGGTTGATGAATATGGAGGTGGGTTGATGAATATGGAGGTGGGTTGATGAATATGGAGGTGGGTAGATGAATATGGAGGTGGGTTGATGAATATGGAGGTGGGTTGATGAATATGGAGGTGGGTTGATGAATATGGAGGTGGGTTGATGAATATGGAGGTGGGTTGATGAATATGGAGGTGGGTTGATGAATATGGAGGTGGGTTGATGAATATGGAGGTGGGTTGATGAACATGGAGGTGGGTTGATGAACATGGAGGTGGGTTGATGAACATGGAGGTGGGTTGATGAACATGGAGGTGGGTTGATGAACATGGAGGTGGGTTGATGAATATGGAGGTGGGTTGATGAATATGGAGGCGGGTTGATGAATATGGAGGTGGGTTGATGAATATGGAGGTGGGTTGATGAATATGGAGGTGGGTTGATGAATATGGAGGTGGGTTGATGAATATGGAGGTGGGTAGATGAATATGGAGGTGGGTAGATGAATATGGAGGTGGGTTGATGAATATGGAGGTGGGTTGATGAATATGGAGGTGGGTTGATGAATATGGAGGCGGGTTGATGAATATGGAGGCGGGTTGATGAATATGGAGGCGGGTTGATGAATATGGAGGTGGGTTGATGAATATGGAGGTGGGTTGATGAATATGGAGGTGGGTAGATGAATATGGAGGTGGGTTGATGAATATGGAGGTGGGTTGATGAATATGGAGGTGGGTTGATGAATATGGAGGTGGGTTGATGAATATGGAGGTGGGTTGATGAATATGGAGGTGGGTTGATGAATATGGAGGTGGGTTGATGAATATGGAGGTGGGTTGATGAATATGGAGGTGGGTTGATGAATATGGAGGTGGGTTGATGGATATGGAGGTGGGTTGATGAACATGGAGGTGGGTTGATGAACATGGAGGTGGGTTGATGAACATGGAGGTGGGTTGATGAACATGGAGGTGGGTTGATGAACATGGAGGTGGGTTGATGAATATGGAGGTGGGTTGATGAATATGGAGGCGGGTTGATGAATATGGAGGCGGGTTGATGAATATGGAGGTGGGTTGATGAATATGGAGGTGGGTTGATGAATATGGAGGTGGGTTGATGAATATGGAGGTGGGTTGATGAATATGGAGGTGGGTTGATGAATATGGAGGTGGGTTGATGAATATGGAGGTGGGTTGATGAATATGGAGGTGGGTTGATGAATATGGAGGTGGGTTGATGAATATGGAGGTGGGTTGATGAATATGGAGGTGGGTTGATGAATATGGAGGTGGGTTGATGAATATGGAGGTGGGTTGATGAATATGGAGGTGGGTTGATGAATATGGAGGTGGGTTGATGAATATGGAGGTGGGTTGATGAATATGGAGGTGGGTTGATGAACATGGAGGTGGGTTGATGAACATGGAGGTGGGTTGATGAACATGGAGGTGGGTTGATGAACATGGAGGTGGGTTGATGAACATGGAGGTGGGTTGATGAATATGGAGGTGGGTTGATGAACATGGAGGTGGGTTGATGAATATGGAGGTGGGTTGATGAATATGGAGGTGGGTTGATGAATATGGAGGCGGGTTGATGAATATGGAGGTGGGTTGATGAATATGGAGGTGGGTAGATGAATATGGAGGTGGGTTGATGAATATGGAGGTGGGTTGATGAATATGGAGGTGGGTAGATGAATATGGAGGTGGGTTGATGAATATGGAGGTGGGTTGATGAATATGGAGGTGGGTAGATGAATATGGAGGTGGGTTGATGAATATGGAGGTGGGTTGATGAATATGGAGGTGGGTTGATGAATATGGAGGTGGGTTGATGAATATGGAGGTGGGTTGATGAATATGGAGGTGGGTTGATGAATATGGAGGTGGGTTGATGAATATGGAGGTGGGTTGATGAATATGGAGGTGGGTTGATGAATATGGAGGTGGGTTGATGAATATGGAGGTGGGTTGATGAATATGGAGGTGGGTTGATGAATATGGAGGTGGGTTGATGAATATGGAGGTGGGTTGATGAATATGGAGGTGGGTTGATGAATATGGAGGTGGGTTGATGAATATGGAGGTGGGTTGATGAATATGGAGGTGGGTTGATGAATATGGAGGTGGGTTGATGAATATGGAGGTGGGTTGATGAATATGGAGGTGGGTTGATGAATATGGAGGTGGGTTGATGAATATGGAGGTGGGTTGATGAATATGGAGGTGGGTTGATGGATATGGAGGTGGGTTGATGAATATGGAGGTGGGTTGATGAACATGGAGGTGGGTTGATGAACATGGAGGTGGGTTGATGAACATGGAGGTGGGTTGATGAACATGGAGGTGGGTTGATGAATATGGAGGTGGGTTGATGAATATGGAGGCGGGTTGATGAATATGGAGGTGGGTTGATGAATATGGAGGTGGGTTGATGAATATGGAGGTGGGTTGATGAATATGGAGGTGGGTTGATGAATATGGAGGTGGGTAGATGAATATGGAGGTGGGTTGATGAATATGGAGGTGGGTTGATGAATATGGAGGTGGGTTGATGAATATGGAGGTGGGTTGATGAATATGGAGGTGGGTTGATGAATATGGAGGTGGGTTGATGAATATGGAGGTGGGTTGATGAATATGGAGGTGGGTTGATGAACATGGAGGTGGGTTGATGAACATGGTGGTGGGTTGATGAACATGGAGGTGGGTTGATGAACATGGAGGTGGGTTGATGAACATGGAGGTGGGTTGATGAATATGGAGGTGGGTTGATGAATATGGAGGCGGGTTGATGAATATGGAGGTGGGTTGATGAATATGGAGGTGGGTTGATGAATATGGAGGTGGGTTGATGAATATGGAGGTGGGTAGATGAATATGGAGGTGGGTAGATGAATATGGAGGTGGGTTGATGAATATGGAGGTGGGTTGATGAATATGGAGGTGGGTTGATGAATATGGAGGTGGGTTGATGAATATGGAGGTGGGTTGATGAATATGGAGGTGGGTTGATGAATATGGAGGTGGGTTGATGAATATGGAGGTGGGTTGATGAATATGGAGGTGGGTTGATGAATATGGAGGTGGGTTGATGAATATGGAGGTGGGTTGATGAATATGGAGGTGGGTTGATGAATATGGAGGTGGGTTGATGAATATGGAGGTGGGTTGATGAATATGGAGGTGGGTTGATGAATATGGAGGTGGGTTGATGAATATGGAGGTGGGTTGATGAATATGGAGGTGGGTTGATGAATATGGAGGTGGGTTGATGAATATGGAGGTGGGTTGATGAATATGGAGGTGGGTTGATGAATATGGAGGTGGGTTGATGAATATGGAGGTGGGTTGATGAATATGGAGGTGGGTTGATGAATATGGAGGTGGGTTGATGAATATGGAGGTGGGTTGATGAATATGGAGGTGGGTTGATGAATATGGAGGTGGGTTGATGAATATGGAGGTGGGTTGATGAATATGGAGGTGGGTTGATGAATATGGAGGTGGGTTGATGAATATGGAGGTGGGTTGATGAATATGGAGGTGGGTTGATGAATATGGAGGTGGGTTGATGAATATGGAGGTGGGTTGATGAATATGGAGGTGGGTTGATGAATATGGAGGTGGGTTGATGAATATATGGAGGTGGGTTGATGAATATGGAGGTGGGTTGATGAATATGGAGGTGGGTTGATGAATATGGAGGTGGGTTGATGAATATGGAGGTGGGTTGATGAATATGGAGGTGGGTTGATGAATATGGAGGTGGGTTGATGAATATGGAGGTGGGTTGATGAATATGGAGGTGGGTTGATGAATATGGAGGTGGGTTGATGAACATGGAGGTGGGTTGATGAACATGGAGGTGGGTAGATGAATATGGAGGTGGGTAGATGAGCTTCGGACTTGGTTCCTCACGCTACCCCGTCCGTCCCCTCGCCTCCCCCTACCCTTGCCCCCGTCTTCCCCCCCCACCAGTTTTCTGCAGTAGAATGGCAGCCTAAGACCACCAATTATCAACGTCACGGCACCCGGTCCGGTCAACCCCACCCCCCTTCCCGTCACAATTCCTCTCCCGTCCCCGCATTCCTCCCTTCCCCCACCTCCACTCTCGCAGTATCTGCAAGAGAATGGCATCCTCAGGCCGCCCATTGTCAATATCGTCGCCCTCACAGCGGTCAGTCGTCCTTCCCCCTCCCTCCCCCCTCCCCTTCCCTCCCCCCTCCCCCTCCCTTCCCCCTCCGCCTCCCTCCCCCTTCCCCTTCCCTCCCCCTTCTCCCTCCCTCCCCCCTCCCCTTTCCACCCACCTCTTCCTCCCTCCCTCATCCCCCTCCCTCCCCCCTAACCCCCCCTCCCCCCTCCCCCATCCCCCTCCCCCCCCCTCCCCCTCCCTCCCCCCTACCCCTCCATCCCCCCTCCCCCTCCCTCCCTCCTCCCCCTTCCACCCCCCTCCCCCTCCCTCCCCCATCCCATCCCCCTCCCACCCCCCTCCCCCCCTCCCCCCTCCCCCCTCCCCCATCCCCCTTCCCCCCTTCCTCACCTTTGTGCTTGCTGACCCTTACCATTTTTCTCCCTCACGCATTCCCCACCGCCTCCTCCCTCTCGCATGCCCCGCACATCTATCTTCCAGGCCATCCCACCACCCATCTGTCCTTCCATGCATCACCCTGCCTCTTCCTCTCCCCGCCCCCTCCCCGCCCCCCCCCTGCCATGTCATCCCTCCCCCTGCTCTCTCCCCGCCCTCTCCTGCCATCTCGCTCCGCCCCTCAATCTCCGTGCCTGTTGCCTGGATCCCTATTCCCCACCCGACCATCATGCTTTCCGTTCACTGCCACCACTTGTGAGAAGCCTCAAAACTCTCCCGCTCTCCTCCCCTTTCTCCGCCTCCCAATCTGCTGCCCGTCTTCCTGTTTCCTGATTGCCCGTCAGACCATCATGCTGCCTGGCCATTACTATTCTGCCGTCACCTTTATAGCCATCTACAGCATTGGTAAGCGGTCTTTTCCCAAGCAGCAACATTTTATGTGGCTTCTCATGAGGCGATTCACAAGGCACCTCAAGAAGCTGCCCGGCCACTGCTACTCTGCTGTTGCCTTAACAGCCATCTACAGCATTGGTACGCAGAGTTGTAACCCGCGATGGTGAGAAGAGTTGTAACTCAAGATGGTGAGAAGAGTTGTAACTCAAGATGGTGAGAAGAGTTGTAACTCAAGATGGTGAGGAGAGTTGTAACTCAAGATGGTTACCTGGGGGGGGGGAGAGATAAGGCCTGAATTACAACTCTTGAGTTACAACTCTTCTCACCAAACAAGCTATCACATGTAATCTGTGTCTGAAGCGACACTTCATGAGGCACCCGATCACCATTACCCTGCTATCACCTTCACCACCAATTACAGAACTGGTAAGTGGTCCTTTGCAGCAGACAACATCTCCTCGTGTCTTCCACATAACCACTTTTCTAGTGCTTCTCCCACGGTCGCCTTCTCATCTCATACCACGTAAGTAATTTGTTTTGAGACGTTTCAAAACAAATTTTACTCAACTTAGCAAGCCACAACCAATGATACAAGCAAGACACAATCTTTTCACGTGTTTTCCACATAATTGCTTGTCTTGTGCCTCCCCTCCCACAACCCCCCTCTCATCCCACGCCCAGGCGTGAAGGGAGTGGTGGTGGGGTTAATGGCAGTGGCTGTACCAACCTTCCTCTCCGCCTTCTCCCTCCTCCCTCTCTGGGACTCCTTACAACGCGACCAGGTATGCCCCTTCCCCCTGTTGCTTACACCTCTCAGGAGCCACACACCATTGCTCGCTCCCTAAACCCTCTCTGGGGCTCCTTACAACGCGACCTGGTGTGTGCCATTCAACCCTTGCTTACAGCTCTCAGCTGCCACATACCTTTGCAGCTTAGCTTCCCTCCTTCCAACCCTCTCTGGGACTCCTTACAACGCGACCAAGTATGGCTCACCCAACCCTTGCTTCTACCCCACACCACAGGGCCTATGGGCGGCAGGGGCTGGAGCTGGGCTAGCTAGCTGGAGCTGGGCTAGCTAGCTGGAGCTGGAGTGGAGATCGCTGCTTTCGACAAGGTTGTTGACACTTTATGACGTATGCCCTTGACATCTCCCGTCAACACCACAGGGCCTAGGGGCTGCAGTGGCTGGAGCTGGGCTAGCTGGAGCTGGAGTGGAGATCGCTGTTCTGCTGCACCTGCTGCTGCAAGTGGTGGGTGAAATTGTCAATAAATAAGTGATTTAAGAATGAAGTATCCATTAAAGGAGTAATGAAGCGGATACAGAGGCACGAGGTGCAGCAGTGGCAGGAGGTATCTCAATTGTTTTTGCACCCGTTTCTGCAAGTGCTAGCATTGGGTAGAGAGCCCTAAGCCTTCATAGGCTAAAGAACTTGTTCAATTACATATCTCAATGGTTCTTTGTGTGCCTGCTGCTGTGTTGGAGACTTTTGAAAAATCTCAAAAGCATGTCTCAATATTTCCTTCCTTGTGCCTGCAGCTGCACGCGGTGGCTCTTCTCTTCCCTCTTTCACCTTGCCACAATCTGTTCTCGTTCTCGGGCTTCCACGCACCTCAGGACACCACAGCCAGCCTTCAACAGAGTGCTCTTTGAGTCGACTCAAAGTCACCACAGCCAGAATCAATCGGGCTTGCCATGAAGCAAATACCCATTTCTGATCTTTGCTTTTCTGCTTCTGTTGTGGCCCTTTTGGCTGCAGGCAACAACAACAGGTCCGCTCGCTGTTGGCATTCTCACGGCATCATTGGTTGCAGCCTTCCAGGTGACTGTGCTTGTTGGGTACTGTGAGAATATTCATATGTGTTTTGAGTCGATTCAACACATGCCTGGTAACCAACACTGGTAACCTACACCGGTAACCACCTCTGATAGTCGACACTAGTAACCACAGCAGGGTACTAGCTGATGCCAACACAGCATCACTGTTTGCAGCATCCCAGTGACTGCTGTTTACAGGTGATGTGGTTCTTCTTACATTCTGGTTAGGTGCTATTTATGTGCTGGTTATGTGGTTGATAATGGTTACTTTCGGTTATGTTGCTATCAAGGGCCGTGGAGTGGTGGGCAACAGTGACAGCTTGCCTATGCGCTCACTGATATCCCCTCTCTACACTCTCCTGCAAACGCCAACACCAATAGCCGTTACAGCATTCTGAGTCGACTCAAAAGTAACCTTACGTGCGCAGCTCACCGATATTCTCTTGCCACAATGCCTTGCTACCATGCCTTGCTACAATGCTTGCAGACTCCAGCGCCAATAGCTGTGGCAACAGGGTCAGCATTCGGGCTCATCCTCTATCTGGTGGGTGCTTCTCGTCAACCTATCGTGCTGCTTGTCGCCCCATCGTGCTCCTCGTCAACCCATGTTCTTAGCTTCATTTCGTCCTCCTTTTCAGTACAAGGTGCACGTCTTGAGCTCGATGTAGGGTTGCTGTCAAACATCTGACTGTCTTTGAGTCGCTTAAAAAATTGTAGGGTTGCTGTCAGACATCGGCCTGTTTTTCTCAATGCCCGTTCACACTACGTCGTAGACTCTCACTGGAGCATGGCAAATCAACAGTGGCAATGGGGGTTTGTTTGAGTTGCATATGCAGCGTGAGATTTGGATCATGAAACTCCATCCATGCCAATCAACCCTCGGCAGCTGCTACAATCTGACGCCAGTCAATTGCCACCTCACCTTTCTGCCAGTTTGCTCAAACTTTCAATGCCTGGTGTGTGAGACGTGTGGTTGTGCTTCCCTTGCTTGATGTGTGTGTGTGTGTTAAGGATGATGTTGCTCTCTTTTCTGTGTGCATGTGTGTGCATGTGTGTGCGTGTGTGTGTGCGTGTGTGTGCGTGTGTGTGTGCGTGTGTGTGCGTGTGTGTGCATGTGTGTGCATGTGTGTGCATGTGTGTCCGTGCCTGATGTGTGTCACTGTGCAGTTCAACATCGGTGGTCCGTACTGCTGGGTGCCAGCATATATGCGCCTCAACCCCGAAATGGTCAAGCCATGCCTTCTCCTGCACAACCTCAACACGCTCTTGTTCACGCGCTATTGAAGTTGCCCCCATTGTTTTTCTCATAAATTCATAGAAACGCTGCATGATGCGTTTTGCCATTGACATGGCCATGCTGGTTGGCTTCGTGGAATGGTTAGGAATGTGTTTTACGTATGTGGGGCCTGATCTCGCAAGCTACAAATGCTACTAGCGATGCCAATGTACTATCAACAATTCCGAGTCATTCTGGAAGCTCGCGTTGCTGTTACTTCGGGAAGAGCACACAGGTGTCAGTGGCTAAAACATTTGAATCTTGCCGACTGGAAAACCCGGATGAAGTGAAGCAAGCAAGCAACTCTTAGAATGCTAGAGGAATGTAAATTAGGTCAAAGGGGAGGGGTACAAGGAGAAGGGAAATCTCAAGAACGGAGTGCAACGGAATGGTTGTGATTAGCAAAGCAAGGGGTACAAATAGGAAACCCTAAACTGTTATACTCACTAAAGAGCACCTCACTGTTGCCTACAACAAACAACAACATTTGACACACCCCCATAGGCTAAGTGAGGGGCATCAAAGCAAGTAGGTCACCAAACGGTCACAAGACCAGTCAAAGCAAGCAACAAAGCAAAGCTCAGGGTGGATCACGACGTCACCACGCATTATGAGCACAAACAAACGGCCACAAGGCCAGTCCAAGAGGTTATACAAGATATATAGGTGCAAGTACAAGCAGACGAGCAACAGAGTCAACAAGCCCTAAATGCACACAGAACCGGTGGTGACCACCAGGCGCCAAGGCCTTGGTGAAGAGGTCTGCAGTGTTGGCCTCCGAGGCCACAAAGTCCAGGCGCACCTGGCCACGACGCTGCAGCTCGCGTAGGAGGAAGTACCGAACGTCGATGTGCTTCACCCTGGTCTCCAGTCGAGGCTCGCGACACAAGAGAATCATGGCCTTGTTGTCAGCGAACAAGGTCGGAGCCGTGCGAGGCCACTCACCAAGGTCGGTGAGCAAGAAGGTCAACCAGCGAAGCTCCTGAGCAGCCATAGCACCGGCGTAGATCTCTGCCTCTGCGCTGGACGAAGCCACAGACGACGACCGAGTGGACCTCCACGACACAGCCCCAGCTCCCAGACTGAAACAGTAGCCCTGGGTCGAGCGCTGAGTCTCCACGTCGTCAGCATAAGAAGAGTCACAGAGGCCAGTCAACTCAACTGGCCGAGTCCCTCCAAGCACAAGCCCCATGCCTGATGTAGTCGCCAGGTACTTCGCCACCCGCACGGCAGCCGTCCAGTGAACAGGACGGTGCCTCCCACGTCCAACAAAGCGAGAGAGGACACTAAGAGGGTAGGCGAGGTCCGGGCGAGTACAGGTCATCAGGTACATGAGGCAGCCAACAAGCTCTGGGTAGGGACCACTGGGCTCAAAGGGCTCGTCGAGGAAGGGGCCGGTGAGTCTGTGGTTTACAGCAAGAGGAGTGGGCTGTGTGGTGGAGTGCTGAAGCCCGAACCGCTGAAGGACCTGCTGCACCATGTGTAACTACGTCAGCGTGATGGTGCGAGCGGCTCTGTCCCTGGTGATCTGCAGGCCAAGGTAGCGCTGCAGTTCACCAAGGTCAGTGCACGTGTGTCTCTTCTGTAGTTCGGACTTCACCTCAGCCAGAGCTGCCCTGTTTGGTGTAGCAAAGACCAGGTCGTCGACGTAGACGAGTATAAAGAAAGGAGTGGAGCCGGCACGAACAAACAGTGACGGGTCAGCAGAGGAAGGGCGAAACCCTAGGTCACGAATCGTGGAGCGAAGAGTGTCGTGCCACTCACGGGGTGACTGGCGGAGACTGTAGACTGGTCGCCTCAGGCTCCACTGGGTCCCACGAAAAAGGTACCAGTGAAACCAAGAGGACGTCGCAGCCAGATCTCCTCGTGCAGTCGTCCCTGGAGAAAGGCAGTGGAGAAGTCGAGGGAGTGGAGCTCGTAGTCTTCTGTGCTGCTACGTGGAGTAACACCCGAAGTGTAGTCATCTTCGGGGTCGGAGCGAAGGTCTGAAAGAAGTCAACTCCCTCGCGCTGACTGAAGCCTCTCGCCACATAGCGCGCCTTGAACACCGGCGGTGATCCAGGCGGCCGCTTCACCTTGAAGAGCCACATGCCATCGACTATGTTTGCCCGGGGAGGGGGAACTGCGTCGACGTACGTGCCTGTGGATCCCCAAGACGCCAACTCTGAATCCATGGCCACCTTCCACTAAGAGGCAAGGACTCGTCAAAGTTGACTTCAAAAGAGTCATGGAACCTGTGGAGGGGAGTGTGGTAATTGGTGTAGTTAGAGGAGCCCATTGGGGAACCAAGAAAGAGACAGGGGAGGGCGCAAGCCGAGAGCTTAAGCGCAGAGGTGTCGCGGACAAGCGCAAGGCAGCCCCAAACACGAAACCCCAACGTAACACCAGGGGACCTGGTCCAAAGACTGGTCGGTGAAGCCTCTGGTTGTGAGACACGAGGCCGGAGGTTCAGCTTGTGGGCGGCGTAGCGAACCGCATAGGGCCACAGAAAATGGGGTGCACGGGCATGGATCATGGAGGTGGGGGCGATTCCCATGACCAAGCCTATGCGGCGCTCAGCAACCCCATTCTGCTGTGGGGACTCTGGAAGCGTCCAGGATTGGGTGATGCCCTGCTCGCTACAGAATCCGCGAAGAATGCGGGGGCGAAACTCACCCCCAGGGTTGAAGTGAAGACAACTGACACGACGGCCAAGAGTGGTCTCAGTGGCCAGCAACCACCGGATCAGCGTAGAAGTCACGTCGGACTTCTTTGATAGGGGGAACACTGTGGCGTAGCAGGAGTTGTCGTCAACGACCACCAGAAAGAAGCTCTCCCTCTCGGGCCCAGAGCGAAGGGGGGGGGGGGGACCCAGAGGTCCAAGTGGAGAGTATGGAAGGGTGCGGTGGCCGGACGAAGGGAGGAGGAGTGAGGAGTGGCGCGCAGCCAACCCTCGACGCAAGGAGTGCACGTCGGCACTGGCAAAGGAGGGAGCGGCGCAAAGACGCGCGGGAGACCTAAGACAAGACGCTTCCTAGCCATGCTGCAGAGGCAAGGGAAGGATGGGTGACCAAGACAGTGGTGTCATAGGACTGTCGGGTGGTGAGTGACCGACAGGAGCACGACGCAACAACCTGACCGGACGCAGCTACCTAACCAGACGCAGCTACATGGGGAGACAAAGTGTGCAGTGTGAAGAGACCGGAGCGGCCTGGCCCCCGGTTGAACGTGGCCAGTGGAGCGTAGGTGTCACCGTTGACGCAGGTCCCGTTACGCTCAGACAGAGGAAACCTGACACTGACGTGGCGGTCCTGAAGGTACCCAAAATCCACCAAGTTTTTGGAGAACGGGGGGATGTGGAGACCAGTGAGGACACCAGAGGGGACAGCCGGGCACGGGAGGGTGGTAGAGTTGCGTGCAGCTGCTGGTCCTGAAGTAGGACCAGCCAGTGCAATCGAAACCGGAGCAGGGAGCAGAGTCAGATTCATGTGGTCGTGAAAGAAGCACTAAGACGCGTCAGAGTCGAGCGTGAAAGAGAGTGACGCCTCAGCCGAAAGTTCACTTGGGCTAGTAGCTACACAAGCACCTAGAATAGAAGCACAAGCATCTGCACTGGCAACAGGCAAAGAACCTAGACTACCAACACGCGAACAAACGGATCCAGCACCAATATTGTCAATAGTGGCATACATCACAGGGGGGGGTCGCAAAGCAGCAAACAACTCTACTGCAGACATCTAAAACAACGACGGACCAAGGGAACGAGCCAGCGGGGCCTAGTCTGGAGAGGGGCCGTCACCGTACCCTACGTAAAGGAGGTCCGTTAGCTGCGCAAAGCACTGTCCAAGCGGGTGAGAGAGCTCACCGGTGACCGCGAAGTGTCCTAGTCCGGACAAAGTACTGGCACAGAGAAGGTGGGGTTTCACGGGACACCCAGCTGGGCACGCCACTGCCATGCCCAGTGCCCGCTGGTCCACCAGATCCCCACTATTGGCGCTGCTGTTGTACCTGCCGCGGAACCTCATGCTGCGGCTGTCCCTGCGGCTGTGGCTGTCCCTGCTGCTGTGGCCGTCCCTTCTGCTGATGCAGTCTCTGCTGTGGCTGCTGCTACTGTGCTGCCGCCACCGCCTACCAATTAGCTGCTCCAACACCCCCTCCAGTTGGGCCGCAGGCCCAGTGCCACCACCCGTGCCGCCTCCACTAGACTCACTAGTACTGCCCCCACCTCCGCCATCCCCTGCGTCACCGCCACCGCCACCACCGACGCCACCACGCTTCCCCCCTTTCTTACCTCCCCTGCACCGGGCCCACCCACCGGCGACGGATACGGCTGCAGTCTCGTCAGAAGAAGGAGATGCAG